ATTGATATTTGAGTGTCAAAGTAAACACAACATACCAAAATAATATTTCATTTCAAATACAAACGATTAATGAAGACAAATTTATATTTTGTTGCTGGATTTTATGCTTTGCCTGTGAGATTAAGGAAGGGCGTAGGAGTGCCCTATCACCGTGCTGTTGAAGGAAGGGGGGGGGTTCGTCTCCACCGTGACACTGTATAAGGCCCTTCAAACAAGTTGGCTATGGTTTTGGTTTGCTTTTTTGGGGGGAGGTGGGGTGAGATTTGAGGAACACACTTCCACTTGTGCTCATATTCTCTCACCAACTTCAAGAGCAAGTAATCACATAAAATTAATAAATATGTGAATAAAATAAATTAAAACCCCCTTTTAATCTTGTCATGTAATCTCCTTTGGTCTTCTTTATTGTGTAATTTGTAAGTCTTCTTGCAACTTGGCATAATTTTAAATATACAAATATATATATATATATATATATATATATATGTGTTTTAGTTCTAATGCAATCGGTCCTAATTTTTATTCCATAACTTTGTTAGTAATAAAATATTTGTTTATGTAATGGAGCATCAGGTTTTATGCTTGATGAATGATTGAGTATTGTAGGATTAAAATATAAATTTTGATTATATGATATATTAAAGAGTATTCATTTTTTTATTTTTTTCAAAAAACATGTCTATGGTACATTTAAAACCAATCTACATTGCTAAGAAGAAAAGAAGTAGATAACCAAAAAAAAAATCAAAAAATCAAAAAAAGGAAGGAATATTTTATGTCAACTGAAAAAATAATCAATCAACACATTTGAATAGAGCATAAAAGGATCAACCACTTAAAATATTATTTAATGCTTTATTTCAAATAATCATGGGATTTGCCTTTATAAATATCATAAAGTAATATAGTGAAAAAATATATAATATTTCTTTTTGTTCATAGGGTTTGTTGGCATAAAATAAATCTTCAATAAACACCAAACAGTGATTTTAAAAAAAATAATGTATTTTTTTGTTACAAGCATCTTAAAATTGTTCACATACAATTTGGTCCTTGTTAGATGTAGATTATTTTTATTTCATTTTTATTTTGAAATACATTGATATGTTTGAAGTAAAATCCCTTCTGAACATCATATTTTCAAAGCTATCAATACACTCATAAATGATATTTAATGGGAATTTTTTTTTCAAAAATGATTAAAAATATTAGATAATATGTATATAGTTTAATTTAAAAATTGAACTTCATCCATCATCGTGACAAGATAAGCTATCATATTAACATCTTAAACAACTAAACAACCAACAGAAAACCATGTAATTAAATTACAAGAACATGTGAATATATATATATATATATATATATATATATATAGATTATTCAAAAAATAAAAATTCACATCTTAAATAAGATTTAGTTCTAGTTTTAACTTCTATATGTTTCATTTTTGATAATCAAAATAGCAGTCACATAAATCATTATGATTTTTCCTAGTTTATAGCTGTAACTAAATCTAATTAGTTACGATTATTTAAAAATATACATGTTTGTAAAACAAATAAGAGAATGTGGTTGATCTTTAAACTTTGTAACATTTAAATTTATATTAGTATTAGTGCACAGTGAATAAAAAAGATAAAAGAAAATCTCATTTATTTTTTATTTTTTATGATAAGTTTATTTTGACAGTATATTTCATATATTATAATTTTTTTCATATATATAAATATATATATATATATATAAATATATATATATATAATTTTATTGATTTTTTGAAATTATTCAAAAAATGTATAAAATAAAGATATGCATTTTTATATTAACCAATTGTTGAAACATGAAATTTTGTATAATATGGTAAATTTTTTCTTACAGCAAAGAAGATGAATTGGCAACCTACTTGAGTCTTGTAAAGCTTTCTTACAAAAATAATTTTTCTGAATATTTGGATTGAATGTTTTGTTGTTGTGGGTATTAGTCAACATTAACTGTGAATTGATATGCTAAAATCAACAATGAAGTGCAAAAATAAACGTTTAAGCCAAAACAACCATAGAAGTTTAATTGGAAGAATCTTAAGGTCAATACATGATTTATTTTCTCAAAAGTTAGCATTGTATGTTTCAATGCTGGATGAAGGTTATTTTTCAAACAGAGTACAAAAAAGGGAAAAAGAAAAAGGAAATTTGTTGAGATAAACTGCAATGTAAAAATCAAGTCTTAGTTAATAATACAAAAGAAATATATAAAATAGACGCAGGATTTCTTATCCTTGTTGATTGATTAATTAATTAATTAATTAAAATAATATTATTACTTTTATGTTTAGAAATATGAAAATATTGAGTATATGCATATATATATATATATATATATATATATATATATATTTGCAACTGTATGTGTTTGAGTTTTTGAGATTCCTGTGGGAATCAACGATAACATATTGTCAAATATAAGTAATCAATCGTTTCAGGTTGCAAAGAGACAAGTAGTATGTTTGATTTATTGGTGTGTTTACAGTAGCACTGACCACAAATGGAAATTCACAACACCTTTGATGAATTCTTATTACAAGATTATAAACTTTCATCATTAATGTATGTGTTTAACTAAATGCCGACAAGTTGTACCATATGGCTTTAAATCAAATAGCAATTATATGATCGTTTACATTCAATTTCTTTTGAAATGAGTAATAATTTTATTTCATTCAATATGAGAAATATGGTATTTTAATTCATTCTTGAATTCATTCTTGAATCCATTCCTCTACTTCTTATTTTGATTATATTGGTCTATATCAAATATTTGAAATACATTCAATAATTGTATTTTGGTTTTGAGAAACAGCAAGCTTTCAATAATATCATATCATTTTCCTGTTTATTTTATTGGTAAGTTTTTCTTTTGTGAGTTTGGGTTCTACCTAATACCATTAAAGACTTAGTTATCTTGTGTTCTGTACATGCAGCAGTAGTAGGCGTTATCAGAAATATGTTATTACATAATCTGAAACAGAAACTTATTTGTAATTATATATTTCTCTTTGCAATCATAAAAATGATAAAACCACTAATTCAATATATAGTTTGACATTCATATTTTTAAAAAATTGTTTAACAAGACTCTAGAAGATTACAGAAACAAAACTACACAAAACACGATCCTTACAAACCATTTGTGTTGGGGCACGTCATCATAGAATATTGAACATGAGTATTCTAGCCCATCGATTATTTTTGTAGTTATATTTATATTTTTCTTGAGGAGAGAAAATAAGAAAATAAGGGCATCAACAATTTCCAGCATTATTTACTGGAAACCTCTTCAGCAATGTGCATTTCTTAGAAATCAAAGGTTATTCTTGGAGGAACGAAGCTATTGTACTTATAGAAACGTAACCCAGTTTCCTTCTTCACCACTGGTGGACACAAACCAGTGGCTCTAAGAGAGTTCCTTAAAAACAATCCACAAACTCTGCCGCACATGCTTCGTTAATGAGGACAAGTCATTGATTACTTCTACAACGATTGAGTTTTCATCATTGATACAAACTCTGATATAGATCAGATTTTCATGTGCTGGAAACCCACTTGCGAATATCTGATATTCCTTCAAGCTCTCAAGCGACTCTACTACGAGGATTCCAACAGAGCAATCACTGTTGGGTTGTGCCAATCCTGCATTGGGAAGTCTCTACGCCGACTCTGTGTGATGCCGAATGATGCAATGCCACTTCGTAGTGTCTTCCACGCACTTTGTCTTACGTGGAACTTCGATATGCAGTAGGTGCAAATAGTGCTGGAGCCTGGTCGTCCGATGTGTAGATGAAGCAGCTAAGAAGCCCTGACCAGAATCTCGCTCAATAGCACCAAACCTGCAGATTCAATTGCACAACAATGGGTCACGTCCTTACCTTTGGTCACCCGATGAGTCGGCTTCATTGTGTAATGGAAAGATTGTGGACGAAACAATAAGAGCAATAAGTTCCGCGAGTTTTCTTCCGGGGGGGGGGGGGTAAAAAAATAAAAATAAAAATAAAAGCCTTTAAACAGAAGTTGCAGTGATCATTGCTGCAATGAACCGCCACCAGCAAAGACGAGAAGGGGGAAGTCGGTGCTACAAGCCAAGGCCATCTGACCTCATTCTCTTCCACCGCCAGTGACATGCAGCTGAGAGACTACTTCGGGGCTGTGCTTTTGTCCGATGAGAAGAGTTCTTTCCAGTTGCAACGTTATTGTCGCGCTGGGTAGGCGACCCAGTCCAACGCGAACCTTTAGGGCCCTTCAGCTTTCCCAGTGAGCGGAGAGTGATTCTTGAAAACTGAACCGCAACGAGGTAGCGGGCTTTTCGGCACTATGTATCTGCATTACTGAGATAGAAGACTGCCAATTTTGGGGATGCTGTGGTGTGAATACGTTGCACTGTAACTACCACTTTCTCTGCTTCTTTAAAGATTTTCCATATTCCGAAGGATCACTGTAGCCTATTCTTCCACACTGTAACATAAGTGATGCCATTGCAAACCAGATGTTCCTGCAACTCAGAGAAGGGAAGTTAAGAAAGGGTACCCAAGAAACGATAGTAACCCTTCAAAATTGTGATAAGATACAAGAACCAAAATTCCCACATTAGGGCACAAATCTCATTTGAACTAAAGCCAATATATCGGTCACTTTCTATGAATAACGCAAGGTCATACCGGTTTAGGAGGCTGCTTTATCATTACAGAGGGAAAACAATAACCAATCTTGGTCTTGGTCAATACTCATCGCTGATTAGTTCAGCCTTGTTCCTCCAGTACAAATCATTCCTAATGAACTCAGCACTTAAGCAGCAACGTTTTGTCCTTGTCTAGTAAAACTTTGCTGTCTCCTAGAATCATCATCACTAGCAAAACACATACCTGAAAAAACTTCTGTCTTCCTATTCTAATGAATTATTATAAAGCTTCCCAAGTAACCTCGGAAAGTGCCACAAACTGAGAACCGTACCTGGAAATTTGAAACGTCAATACTCAATTATAAAATGCGTGTGAACGAACATGCAAAATGTCCATCTAAAACATTTCCAGAAACCCCTGAATCCTTGTTGCACACATTTACCAACCCACTCCTCTTTCTGCCCTCATTCAGCGTAATTTCATACAACAAGAGGAATGCTTGAGGGTTGTAAGAACCCATATCCCGCAGCCCACAACCTAAGCCCATCTGAGCTGGATACACAAACTGCGTGCATTTGTATTCATGCTCCTTTTAATGATAATATACCTTGCATACCACTTCACTAACCCGCTACTAGTCGAATTGGACCATCCATCAACAGTCCCATTTGACGATGATACCAATAGATATAGCCCCACAACAAATCTCCACAATGTACCAACTATTGTCAATGAGCTGCGACGTCGACGTGGCATTGCCGTCAAACACACCTTGCGCTCCAGTAGTCTGACACACCTTCTCCTCCAACAGTGATAGATTCATGTTCAATCACCACGCAGGCATTGCTCTCCCCCATGGATGTCTTCAAATCAACCAACCCTCTATCTGCCTGGCAGACCCTGGCATTTCCCATCGCAGCAACTCCGCTACTCTTAACACTCGCATCCGGAAGTTTTCTGTGGCCTGCTGGCGTTCACGTCGATCGTATCAGGCAGGTAGCTGCAACCACATGCCAAACATCACACTCAGTCAGACCACTCCTCCACTCAGCGAGTTCCATTGCGTCTCCACATTCCACTCCCTTCACAAACGCGATGGTCACTGATAACACCAAGACTGACTCACATTTCCTCCTCCGTCTCGTTCTTCAATGCGTTCTTGGCAATACACTGGAATGCAGCATCCACGTTGAAGTCTTCCTTGGCTGATGACTCAAAGTAGGGGATGCCTCCTTTCGCTGCACACCATGCTTTGGCCTTCTTCTCGGAGACCTGTGCAGTCCAAAGAAATCAGAGGTGATGAGGTTTTCACAAAGGCAGGAGTTTAAAAGGATAATTCAGCTCCAGGGCCCATCGATGGATATATTATGATCTCATGGTCCTTTGCTGTATGAATTTGAGGGTTGAACCCAAAATAAGACTTGAATAAGCTTACCACTCGACTATTGCCACCATCCACGTCCACTTTATTTCCAAGTACTACAAAGGGGAAGTACTCCTGATCGGATGGGGCTGCCTGCACGGTTCAAGACTGAGATCACACACGACGCTCCGCACAGAAAGAAGCACGTCATCGCAAAGAAAGGAAAACATGGCACGAATCATAAAAAATATGCATGAATAGAAATAATGATGTGCTAAAGACACGCAGCAGCATTCATAAATATCTCCAACAAAGTTGTGACGATAGACAGACATGTACGAAAACATATAAAAGAAATTTAAAAGTTGCAAATATTAATTGTCAACCCAAGACAAAACCTCACCTGGATCACAAACTCATCCCTCCAGTAGTCAAGGTTATCGAATGACTTCATGACATAAACATCGTAAACAAGAACACAACAATCTGCACCTCTGTAGAAGGCAACACCGAGACCCTGAAGCCGTTCTTGTCCAGCCGTATCCCAAATCTCGCGATAGAAAAAGGTGAGACAAAATTAGATCAGAGTGAAAAAGAGTATAACGAGACTCATGCAGTACATAAATTTCACAACCTCTAAATAACGTTGTACCAGACATCCCTAGTCTAGATTTCCCGTGTAAGAACCTTGCAAAGGCTATGAAAATGAAGTAGATTGTTCACGTCTTTTTTTTCCCAAACCCTGATAGAAAATCCAAGTCGTTTAATCGATTCATTATCCTACCACAGACAAAAAAAAAGAAAAGAAAAAAAGGGGGTTATCAAGAGAAGGTAAGTTAGTTTCAACGAAGACAAGACGAACTCTACTGCACATTCAGAATACCCCGTAAACCGTCTTTACAAATACTCTAAACAACGCTTCAGACTACCAGAAAGCCTCACAACGCTCTGGTGAAATAATAAACACGCGAGACCATGGTCGTTCAAGTCTTCCAACAAAACTCGACTCCAGTCTCACATTCAAACGATAATGCATGTCACACTGGATCCAATTTGAGAAGACAACTCACACGAGCCATCACACGCTGGAATCACTGACCTGCATTGTAACAAGTCTGTCTTCAACTTATACTTCTTTAGTTAGGAAATCAGCTCCAATAGTGGCCTTGTGTTGATTGCTGAACTTGTTATTAACATATTGGTTTATCAGCGATGTCTTTCCAACCCTGCCATGATTACAAGAGAACTTAATGTAAGCTTCTATTGGCTCATTTTGAACGTACATCGTCATACTTCAACCTATAAGAATCATGAGAGTAACTAATCCATCTAGTCTTAACAATCTGAAGCTACAAAATATCTTGCACCATATACTGAACGCAAACCAGCTACCAACAAAGAACAAAATTTATCACATTTTTTGTACAAAATCATTGCATGAAAATTTAACTCAACAAAACCTTGCAACCAGAGAGATGAAGGCTGATTTCTTCAATGATTTCAATGCAAAATATTCAACCTTGTAAATTTCACACCTAACACTGAATCGCACCCTTGATTGCTCACAAATTCGCCCTAACTAACAGAACCCTCGTCTTTAAGTCATGTTCTCATGCACCGCCACAACACAAGCCAGCATATCCACGGGAAAACTCCCGCTCTCATCTTCAATATATTTTTTTGCTTCACAATTCCCATCTCTGATAGTACCACAACGCTCCACCTTTAAAAAACAACTAAATTCTAAAATAGATAAATTCAGTGTAAACACAATACCCGCTATCGCCGAGGATGATGACCTTCAACAAGGTGCGCTTACGAGCCGCCGACATCGTACCAAATGTTGTGAATCGCGGTAAAACAAACTACCTCACACGCTCTACCGAAAAAACCGAGTTCAACAAAACCAAACGCGCAAATCCTCGGGCGAAATTCCCACCCAAAAAAAACGAGATTTCTTCGATTCTGCACGTAAATGTCGAATTTCCAAGAGCGCCCGAGTCGAGTCTACGATCGATTGCGGTTGTACGCAGCTTGCGATGCAGCAAATTTGCACGATAAGCGATGGCTGCTGCTGGGTTTAGTATTCCAAACCCCGCTTCCCTCCCTTCCTCGCACTCAGCTAAGCATGGTTTAAGTTAACCACGTATTAGTCTAATTACGGGTTAGAGCTAATCACGGGTTAAGCTGATTATGCGTTAAGTTAATGTGATGGGTTTCTATTGTCTTGGAAATCATTGCATCTTGATTATTTTTAATTGTGCAAATCAATGTCTATGTACATTGAAAAGTTCAAAGGGATTTTATTCTATTTCATTTATTAAAAAATAAAAAGTAAAAAATCTTGATACTTGCATGTGAATGGGTATTTGTGTATTTGTGACGTTATGTTAATTTGTAATTTTCTATTACCAATCACATACAAAAGTTTTGATTGCTGATTAAAACTTGTAAATGAAATGAAATAAAATTATTGTAATGTTTGGTATGAATTGTGCTGGTTTTTTTATGATTGGTGATTTAAGTAGTAATACAGATATAATTTGTATTTAGGTTCAAATAATTGTTTCACTTTAAATGTATGAATGACATATCAATGTCTATGTACATATGTGATTTTTAATTTTTAATTGTTTTTGCAAACATTAACATTTATAATTGTAATAAACACACCAACCCTTATATGACTTTATAGCATGTTTACTTCAGTTTAAAATAATCATCTTTACATTAGATTTTGATTTTGAATTGTGAGGTATTTCTTGATTTTTTTCAAACTCAAAGTAAATAATATATATATATATATATATATATATACACTAAGCCATTTATTAAAACCTTGTTTATATAAGTATGAATGAATCAACAAAACAGAGCAGGGTGGAACAGAAGAATTACATAAATAATATTAAATAACCTTCAATAATCTTCACATGATCCTTGTATAGTAAAAACCCTTGCTTGCTCTAAAGGACAGCAAATAGCTAAAACAACTACAGCTGCATTACACCTCAGCTCTTCACATAATTCAGACCACCCCACTGCAATATATATATATATATATATATATATCTAATTTTTGTTTTTATTTTTTTCATCAAGGATTGAATTTGTCATTCACATACCAAGAATATTAATTGCATGTGTTCATGGGTTGTGCCAAGATAATTGGGTATAGTTAATACTTTCATACCTCTTTTGTTCATGGTGGGTCTCAATGCATCCACAAGACAATTTATCTCCAAAATTACAAGATAGCATTGTGGTTGTACAATGAAACTGTAAAATATTCATGGTTTTGGAATTAGTATCACTGATCAAGGGTCTTCTCTAGATTGTAATAGTATGTGAAGGTAGACATCAATGCATTTCCTTCTTTAGCTGCTCCTAAAAAAGTTAAGTGTTTAGAAGGCTTCAGTTATATAAAATTGTTCGAACATAACAGAAAGGTTGTGTTAGCAACACATTTTTCAGTAACTGTGTGTAGTTGGTTAAATTGTGTAATTTAATCTAATTTCAGGAGGGATGAGGTTGTTCTTTGGAAGGATTTCCTGCCATCAGTGCCTTCTTTATGTTATTTCTTGTCCTTCTTGTTGTCTCAAAAAGTAAATGCTTCATCATTCTCCACCGCTCATGTCTAAGGTATTTGATAAGTTAAGCATTTTAGCATATTTATCATAAGCATAAATAAAAAATAGATCTCTGTAAGGAAATAGAAATCAAGAGGATTTCAAGGGTTTTTGCACAATTTGCCCAAAAACAGAATATATATTAATATTTTAAGTAAAGGTTTTTTTGACCCAAATCTGACATATAGGCCAACCTAATTCCAACCAATGATTGACTATAAAATGAATATGTGATGAACAGATTGGAGTGGAGGTTTGTGTTGGAAGAGGTGTCAACTATTCAATATGGCAAGCATTGTCTTCTGTTTACCATGATTTTATTATCATTAAAGTTTTTATTGAGTTGTGTGAAGTCCACTTTGATAGACTATAGTACAAAGGTCTTAAGAATATTTATTGGTTGTTGAAGTTTTATTTTATTTTATTTTATTTTCTTATTATTATTTTGTTTTTTGTTTTGTTAATGTCTTAATTTTGAGAGATAGTATAAAGAGAGTGGAGGCCATCACATGTATTAAATTGTTACTTTAAAATGATTTAAAAAATAAAACATTGTATTTTGATTGTAAAAATAAGTTTCTAATACAAGTTCTCAATTGTTTTTAAACTTATTAATATCGTTGCATAGTACAAAGGTCTTAAATATTTCAGATGTATTAATAAGTTTCTAACACAAGCTCTCAATTGTTTTTAAATCCCACCTTTTAAGATGGATGTAACACATATTTTAAGAGATGATACTATTAATACCATATAAAACTAACTAAATTCTATTTCGTCTTTTAAGATGGACATAACACATATTTTAAGATATGATACTATTGATACCATGTAAAACTAACTAAATTCTATTTCGTCTTTTCCTATCGTAGCCTCTTGAATGATTTTTCTAAAAATTAAGCCAACTAAGAGGGAGGTTTTTCAATTATTTCCAACCACAAGTTTTGAAAGTTGAAGTTTCTTCCCTTTTTTCTTGAGCCTAAACACCACTAAAAGGTAGAAATATAATAAGAACAACAATCCCTATCCAAATTTGAGAACCAAAAAATAACTGGACATATTTATGTTGTCAAAGGCTTTGTTGGATTTGAGATCCAAATCTTACAAGGGACATTTAACTTACTTCATGATTGTTTCAAGTGCAGCTAGGTACAATTTCAATGTACCACTGTAAAATCTCAGCATGTAAGTGTGCACTTTTAACATAGAAATGATTCTAGCACAATTCATGGGGCATAAAAAAACTTCTGCACAATCCTACCAAGATTTGAGTGTACAGTTATTTCTCTAATATTATGACCACTTCCCTTATCCAAGGATCTTTCACCAAAGCGCCTAATCTTATGCATTTATATTCCAGGTAAGATTTCTTAGTATCAACTAATTCTTTGGAAGTCTGCATGAATACATTTAGAAATTGTTCATTGACAAAAAAATCACACCAAAAAACCTGCAGTATGAGTTATATCAGATGTTCTAGACAATACAAACCACCACCTCAATATAAGCAAAACTCAACCATGCATGTGCTTGTCTCTGAGCTGGTCCCTGAAATGACTGAAAAATGATGTAAAGATAACCTTGGCCCAGAAGGAAATGCAAAACTAGATCTGAAGGTGTTTTTCAAGCTTGTAAGTGGCACTACTTCAAGATCTGGATACTAAGAAAATAGCCTATACACCTTCCTAGATACATTCAGTGTCGCCTATCATTTGACGACGACCTACCATTTCCATATTCTAAAAGCTCGAAGATTAGAGGCCGGACATTGTAAGCCGGAATAAACCACGCACGTTGTGCTGTGCCTTGTTTCACCTTTAACCGTACTAAAAACATCGATGAATGATCGAAAAACAGATCAACATTCTGAATTGAGTTTGCCAGACATTAATATCTCCTAGGCGTTGCGTCGTCTAATTGAAAAGGAACTGAGACGTGTAAGACATGAAAAACTTCCGCATACAGAAAATAAAAATAATGTCAAGAAAGCTCACTGTCCTCTTAATGAACGCGCAAGCAGGAGTGACCTTACCACGCCCCGCTAATTGAAATTTGAGGTCGAAGTGATGCCGATTTCGAGCCGGACACTCAACTGTGCCGAAATCAACGAACCATCACAGTGATACGACCATCAGCAGACACTTCCAAAATTGGTACGCCTTCGCCGCTGCCCACCTCTGCACTTAGTCCGCCATCGTTCATTCATAACTCTCGCTCCTCCACGATTAGCCTCGCCAAAATTGCCGCAAGCAAAAATCCTCCAAAACTCCAGCAATCTCCAGTTCTTACAGACAAAATCCTCATCATGCCAAAGAAAAACGTAGAAGCTCCAGCAGTATTTAGAAACTGAAACATGAAACGCACACGAAGCGGGGCAGCGAAGCAAATGCTCCGGGTGAGCAGTCCATGACGAAGGCATGTTCCGCTGTGGAATATGTCGTTTTCTTTCCAGGCTGCGGCATTCAGAACCGTCGAACGAATTCGCGAAATTGGTCTCCTCCCTGAGCTGGATGCTTCCGTTCATGGGCTTACCCTTTCACCGTGATCACCAGGATCTGTGCACGGTCATACATTTTACGATTTTAGGGCAATTTCATGATCTGGGGTGATTGGGGAATGCATTGGATTTTGCATTGGGTGCTTGTGGATCTAATATTCGCCCATGATATAGGGGCCCTTGGTATCTAGATGGTGTTTCTAGAAACTTAGAAATTCCAAAGATCTTCTATTAATCTTCTAAAGGCACTTCTTCATTCTCAAGTTCATTCAACACCAATAAGGATTTGCACAAATATACAAATTGTTGTGGAATTTAATATGGTTATAAAGCGAATCATTGTATGTTCACATTCATGTTGTATATTGTGTTTAATATAATTCACAAAAACAAACAATGTAGTGATGTTCTTACATTGTCAAATCATAAATAAATCGATGCTGTACAAGGGTGATTGTTCTAACATGATTTTCAAAAATGAAACTATATATATATATATATATATAGATATAATGAAATGAAAAATAAATACATACATCCATACATAAATATAAATTGCTCGTCCTTGAAGCAAATCTCCAATTATTCTTCTTATACCTGCTGAAAAGAGATAGTTCTAAAGTTTGTGTTCAACAAAAATATAAAGATTTATTTATATACAAACTGGAAGAAAAGAAAAGAAAAGAAAAGAAAAAAGACTAGTTGTAGGTGATTTTATTGTAAACTACATTTTTGATGTTATTTATTTTTCCATGATTCACACATACATACATACATATATATATATATATATATATATCGAGAGAGATAAAGGTTGGCCATCCACCACATGCCACTATTAAGTTTATAGGTGAATTACTTATATTGTAGTTTAGAATAAATATGTGAATACAAATTTTAATTTAAATCAAAAAATCAAAAAATAAATGAAGTAGGTGACAATTGTGGTGGTTATAACAAAATTATGGTGACATGTGATGGATGACAATTGTGGTGACAATAGCAAAATTTGTGGTGGCATTAGCAATATCCTCTCTCTCTATATATATAACATTCTAATTATTACTAATATATGCATATTCTATTTTTAAAATAATTAATACAAATTTTAACTTATTTTGTAAAATTGAATGACATAATTTACTTTTAGTTTGAAGGTATCTAATTCAAAAGCTTCAAGCACTCAACTTATTCTTAGAGATTGTATAAACAAACATCTATGAAACTAATTCAAGTCACAAAATAGTTGTTTTCAAATATGTGACAATCTCAACCATTTGGAATTTTGATTCTCATATGTGTTTATATATCCAAGAAAGAAAACCATTTTGCAAGCTAAACAATTGTTGAGATCTAAATGTTTTATTATCAGTATGTTCGTGATTATAAATCTTTAGTTTATATATATAATATCATCACAAACATATATATATATATATATATATATATATATATATGAATTGTAAATGTTGTTGCTTCAATACTGAACTTTTGATATTACAATAACATAATATTAACACAATTTATTTTAATAAAATAAAAATTATTTTCAAATTATTTAATTTTTATTAATTAAGAAATTTGGATTGCAAATCATGGTAATTAGAATTCAGAATAAGTTTTGAGAAAGATAAACCTGTAATTCACATTCAAAATTAATTTTGAATTCTAGAATAACTTTCCTTTCAGAAATTTCACAAAGACATTTTGCTGAATTCTCTTAATTTATATAATTTTCAATGATCAAGAATTAAATTCTTTTCTAAAAAAATTCATCCAATCACCAAACTTCAAGGTTGCACAGAATAATGTAACGAATTTCAAGGATAGACACCAAATTTTTCAATGTAAAGTAGACATATTGACAAGTATATACATACATTGTATTCAGTTTTATACATTTGAAATTACTTGATAAAATTTCAAAATAAAATTATTTGAAAATATCATCAAATAAATCACCTTTGATATTTCCAATCAGGATTATGTCATAAGTAATTAATTCAACAGATAGTTTTGTAAATTTAAAATGAAAAGCCATAATATACAACTCAAGTTGTACTTAAAAATGTGCTCTGAAATTCTTAGCTTGTTTTTCATGATAAAGGCTGCAGAAATCTCACAAGTTTTGTGGATAAATAATTTTGAAACCATTGGATAAGAATTACAGCATAACTTTTGTATCTGGAAAAATGTTTATTCAAACGAAGAAATATACGAAAATTAAAGCAAAGAAAGAGCTGTTTGAATGGTTTTTGATGTTCTGATGTATATATTTGGTCAAATAATCATCCAAAGACCCATTGGTCTTATGAAGATAGATGCAAATATGATTGGCAAATTGTTAGTTAGTTTGAATTAACACCCACTAATTTATACTTCAATGTGATTTTGTGGTTCATAAAGTCACAAATTACATCTACATATTCATTTTGCCACATGAAAAACGAACAAAGTGATGGGATCACAATAGTGATTAAAAGTGATGATAGTTTATGATTTTTTCTCATTGAAAATTGGATAAAATGATAACTTGGTAAAGAACAACATCAATATATGATTATGTTATAATATATATGCTAAAACATCATTTGAAGATGCACAACAAAATATATTTGATAAAATTTAAAATAATTAAAATTTAGATTTATGCAATATTAATTATAAACTTAAAAAATGTTAATTGATATTGTTTAATTATTTATTTATTTTCTGCAATTTCAATTTTATTTTTGTAGTCACTAACTACATCAATTTTTTATTTTGTAATATATATAATTTTTTTTCTAATATTCAAAATTTATAGAATCTCCAAGCACATGTTGTAGACTATTTATTCACACACACACACACACACACACACACACATATATATATATATATATATATATATATTATGCAATACAATTGTTACCATTCAAACTCAATTTTTACACAATTATTCACAATTTTTAAAATTATGTAGTATAATTATATTCATGAATAGAATATAAAACCATATTTATTGCTACATACTCATGTTTTATTCTTATTTTTATATACATTAGAAAACATCAAAAAAAATAATTTATTGGATTTAAAACCATTTACACAATAAAAGATCAATTAAATATGAGATATATTAAATAGATCCATGTTTTTACTAAATAGATCAACCCTTGATGAAGAATATAGTAATCGTGATGAATGTGGTTGGTTTTTATCGGTTGCAGATCCAATAATGGGAAAATGAATCTAGAAATCATTATTCTTTTTCATGATGGTTAGGATGGGTTGGTTGCTTTAGTAAAAACTTAGGTCTATATAACATTCTCCTCAAATATAACCATTATGAAATTCACAATAGAATATAACTTGTAAAGACAAGAAGAATATAATAAAATAAGTTTTGAAAAAAAATAGTACATTGAAATACACAAGATTTTTTCTGCAATTATCCAAACTTATTATCAAGTAACTAGTTGAATATATTCTTACTTAAAACCAAATCTTTGTTTTCCAATTACTATTTGTTCCATCACTATTTTCTTGTTTGTTGAATCACATTGATTTTCTTTTGGAAGTCCTATAGATAAGATCTCATAACAATAATAAGAATAAAACACACACAAGACCCATTTCTTTCACAAACTCTCACCTTATAAAAGGAATGCCACACAAATTCCTCTACACTTACATCAACCAAACCAAAGCCCTATTTCACCCGGAGAAGCACAGGCATCATCAAATCAGAGATCGGCGATCGCCCGCCCTCGTCGACGCGCGACGATTCTTACCAACCGAATCCCACAATCACGCATCGACAAATTGCCTCGGGAATAATAATCGAAGCTTCGCCACTTTCACTTCTCGGGGCGGATCTCACCTCTAGCGAAGCCAGATGTTGGTAGATTACACGCCGGAGGTGGAGGAGGAGAGCACTTGCTTCGGCGGGAGGGGGAGAGACAGGCCGAACAACATGGGCAGGATTTTGTTTCGATTTTCAGACTTCGGAGGGAAGGTCGCGAGGATCGTGACCCCGTTTGGGAGCCTCGCGAGCGAAGGAAGGAAGGAAGAAAGCAAGTAAGGAAAGGCCGACATGGTCACGAACTTACCTACCAGCTACAGTCAAACTATGTGTGCGCAGGTCAACGAAGACGCGGATCTGACTCCATCTTGTTGCTGCGACTCCGAGGACGATGACTGTCGTCATCGATTCATTCCATGGCGCGACTGAAGAGTGAACGCATATTTTTGGTTCTGTTGTGAATGGCTGCACACGATGCGGCGCCTTTGTGAGGGAATTCGCAGAGGAATGAGAGTGAGAGAGTGAGAGAGGGAGGCTAGTAGTTGGTGAGAAGCGTTGGATTATTTTTATTATGTTTTGTTTTTGAGATTCATTATTCCTGCAGTGGATTGGAGGTGCTTGCGTTGGACCAATGACGGGATTGCGAGACGCCTGTGCCCTCGCGATCCTCCCAGATACTTTATTTTGACACGGTGTCGTGTCAATGGGATGCTTTAGACAAGCTGGTCTTGGAAGCTCCCCACTATAGCATAGTCTCCACCCCGCTGCCCAGCACAGGAGCCACGTCGCGCCCCTTTCTTTGGTCCATGCCCAGTGGCTGTGCCAAGTTTTCAACCCTCCCGCGCCCCACGCTGCCTCTTTTCTGTCGGGGTTGTTTGTAGAGCCTGTACTCTCTCAGTCTAGCCCTTCCGCTTCCTCTTCTACCTCTGTCTCTGAAGTGGGTCTTTGCGTTTTGAGGCAGTTTGAGGGGATAGTTTGGAGACGATGGCGTCTGACAATGTGGAGTGCAACGGAAGCAACGGAAGCAACGGAAGCGTGGGCTCAATGGGGTTGAGCACCCTGGCATCCGTGCGGCCGAACTTTAAGCTCTCTGCTGCAGATGTGGGGGGTTTTGTAAGCGATCCCGCTGAGGAGCTCGTGGCACCGAGCGAGGCGTTTCGGCAGCGCGCGTTAGTGGCGTCCCGGGCGCAAGTAAGGCTTCTGATCGCCTCACATTGTGTGTGGGGTGGGCATTTAGGGACTGGAAATAGCTGTGAGGCGGTGGAAGCCTCTTGAAACTAGGAGCATGGAGGTTTTCATCGATCTTGGATTTGTTTGCCTCCTAATCAGTCGCTTGGTTTGACTGCTTGGTTTACAATTTGCGAGCAATATCTGTGGTGGCGGGGGTGGTCTCGGTCCAATCTTGAAGCGTTGAATCTAGACGATCTCGACATTCTCTTAGTTGAAGTATTTTCATCAATGTCTTGACTTGTGTCAGTTCAGTGCCAGAATTGAAATCCGTTTTGTGGCAGAGGAAGTTGTACTTAGGTTGTGGATTTTTTTCAAGGAATAGTCTCAACCTAGACCCAACACGCGTGCCACCGCAGATTGTCGCGAGGTTTATTACTTTCAAACTTACTGTTCCTAGCCAGGTTTGGAGGTTGGTCTTGGAGTTTTTGGCAACAACAGTGGATCCAATCGGTGGTTTTGAAAGTCCTCTTCGACCCTGGATCCCATCGGTGGTTTTGAAAGTCCTCTTCGACCCTGGATCCCATCGGAATACTGATAGGCTGTTGATGAGATGTGCAGTATGACGAGATGTACAAGCGATCCGTGGAGGATCCCGACGGGTTCTGGGGCGACATCGCATCCACATTCTTTTGGAAGAAAAAATGGCCGACAACAGAAGGAAAATTGTATTCCGAAAACATTGATGTCCGAACTGGGCGCGTTGCCGTCGAGGTGCAGTCGTGTCTCAATTAGTCAGTTGAATGGATCAGTCACAAATACTTGTGTTACATGCGACTCTTGAATTCAGTCGTCGTTTTAGTTTTGATCATTTGTCCTTGTTTTCATCGATGACAGTGGTTCAAGGGCGGGCAAACCAATATCTGCTACAACGCCCTCGACAGGCACGTCGAAGCTGGCTTTGGAGACAAGGTGGCCTTCTTCTGGGAAGGGAATGACACCGGCGTGGATGCTACACTGACTTACAAAGAAGTGCTCGAACGTGTTTGCCAGGTGCGGGAGCTCTGGTTCATGAATTTAAGTCAACTTCGCAGAATTGTCTCAGTCATTTCAATTTCAGATTATTATTATTATTATTTTTTTGATGGAGGTGTCTATTTCTTCTGTTGATTGCAGCTTGCAAACTACTTGCGTAGCCAAGGTGTGAAGAAAGGAGATGCAGTGGCAATCTACATGCCTATGCTGGCCGAGCTGCCTATCGCCATGCTCGCGTGTGCAAGAATTGGAGCCGTTCATTCAGTAGTGTTTGCAGGGTTCTCTGCGGAGTCGCTGTCACAGCGCATTCTGGACTGCAAACCAAACATTATTTTGACCAGTAGTGCAGTGAAGCGTGCCGCCAAGGTTATCAAACTGAAGGACATCGTTGACGATGCGTTGAAAACTGCAGCAGAGAACGGTCACTCAGTTGGTGGGTACCTTCAAGGAAAATCACAAGTTGGAATCTGAAAAATATGCTTTGTCTTGATGATTTTCCAGCTTGACGATCTGTTAATTTTCTTTTTCTCATTTTTGTGAACCTGCTATTCGTCTTTTCATTTCAGGTTTGTGTTTGACGTATGATAACAACTCAGCATTGAAGAGAGAAGACACTGCATGGCAAGAAGGCCGTGATGTCTGGTGGCAGGTAATTCCTCGTCAATGGCTTTCGTGCTATGATTTTCTATACCTCCACCACTCCACTAACAAACCCCCTCATTATCGTGACTCACATATTCTCTGTGGGGTTTCATTACAGGATGTGGTGCCATCTCATTCAAAAGAATGTGAAGTGGAGTGGGTCGATGCAGAGGATACTTTGTTCCTGTTATACACAAGTGGAAGCACTGGGAAGCCCAAGGTAAATAGTTTTTTTAAGCTTAACTTCTGTTTTGTTATAGTGCAAAAGTTTTTTGGATTGCACGTTATCATCAGATTTCTAGTAGTCTCTCTCTCTCTCTCTCTCTTTTTTTTTTTTTTTTTTTTTTTCTTTTTTGTTGTTGTTGTTCTTGTTTCTGCGTGCTTGTGGCGTACGTCAGACAGATTGAAATTAGAAACATAAAATTGGCAGGGCGTGCTGCATACAACAGGAGGGTACATGGTCTACGCTGCAACCACCTTCAAGTATGCGTTCAACTATCACGAGGACGACGTCTACTGGTAAGCCCTTGATGAGTTTCATGTTTTCATTAGTCCTTTTTTCAGCTCTAAGATCATGCTCTAGGAGAAGAAATATTTATGTGTTGCATGATCATGTATGTCAGGTGTACAGCAGACTGTGGATGGATTACTGGTCACAGTTACCTAACATACGGTCCTCTACTCAATGGTGCTTCCATGGTTGTTTTTGAAGGGGTAAGTCATTCGCATTCTTCATGAATCAATCAAATTCAGTTCATAAGCTCCATCGTTAATCTATTTCAAACGTTCCTCAAGATGTTTGTCTTCACGTTTCTCTTCATCATCTGTTCTTTTTTCAAAGTTTCCTTTAAGAAGCCTATTGGGTTTTTGCCGCATTTCTTTGCGTTAGTCAAGTTTTTTTGCGACTTTGTGAGCAGGTCCCCAACTACCCAGATGCAGGGCGCTGCTGGGAAATTGTGGACAAGTATAACGTGACCATTTTTTACACAGCCCCAACTGCAATTCGTTCATTGATGCGGTCAGGTGACGAGGTATTTATGTCAACAATCTCAGACCTGCTTTTTAAAGCAACCGAAACAAGCAATCATCTCGAACCTTATTTTAGGGTTTTTTTTGGTCATTTTGTTTTAATCATCAGCCTGGTGGTTCTGGCAGCCTGTAAAACGGCACTCGCGTAAGTCACTACGAGTACTTGGCAGTGTCGGAGAACCCATTAATCCAAGCGCATGGAAGTGGTACTACGAAGTAGTTGGCGATAAGCGCTGTCCTATTGTTGACACATGGTGGCAAACAGAGACAGGGGGTTTCATGGTGTGTACCTGGGCCAATCATTATTGCTTGCTTTGTACATTGGCGGAGGAGCTTTAGCACTTTCGTTTATTTCCATAGATTTAAGCTCTTAATTGAATCTTTATCTATGATGTATCCTATGGCTTGCACTCTATGTCGAAATTGCTGAGTAGTAGCTCTTTGCTGACGCCATCGCTTTCAGATCACTCCGCTTCCAGGCGCTTGGTGTCTTAAACCTGGATCTGCTACCTTGCCTTTCTTTGGAATCCAGGTGCGATGATTTAATCACTTATCACTTTAACATATAATTTGTGTAGTACGGTGTTTTGAAACGAATCTTATTTTGAAGTGAAAGAACAATAAACCCACTCAATTCTTCTTTAGAAGTCGTCCCTGATTACAAAGTGCTCTCACCGACTTTGATTTGGTTTCTTTTTCTTTGTTTTTAAAACTTTTGTGCTACATCTGCAGCCTGCCGTTGTAGACGAAAATGGGCACGCACAGACTGGGGAATGCAGTGGCTACCTGTGCATCAAGGCAGCATGGCCGGGAATGATGAGAACTCTGCAGGGAGACCACGATCGATACGAAACTACGTATTTTGCTCCTTTCAAGGGATACTACTTCAGTGGAGATGGATGCCGCAGGTCTACTTTCATACTGATTTGGGAGGCCTTTTGATGATTGTATACTAGAAAGCAGCTGCGGTGTTCAGTGAGTACAACCAAAAAGAAAAGGATATGTTCTTTTGCGATTGGAAAGTCGCACATAATTATCTTGCAATAGTTAGCATTACGTAACCGCTATGTGCAGGGATAAAGACGGATTCTACTGGTTGACAGGACGAGTTGATGATGTGATCAATGTTAGGTGGGTTGTGCATTGCAAGGTTGATGCTTTTTCTTAGATGTGCTCATCCATGGGTTGGTTGTTTTCAAGGCTTTCTCGACTGCGGTTCAACTTCAAAAGTTTCCTTTGCTATTGCCTAGAGGCAAGTATTTACCTCATTTGTGACTGCGATGGTGCAGTGGACACCGCATAGGCACAGCCGAGGTTGAATCTGCGCTAGTATCGCATCCTCAGTGCGCTGAAGCTGCAGTCGTCGGGTTCGATCACGAGGTATGAAACCATTTACACTGCTTCGTCTTTGTGTGTTTGAAATCACTGTACCGGACAAGGTTGACCTACTTTTTTCTTTTCTTTACTTAGTATTTGTTAACTTGTGAATAGGGACTGTGTCTCGTAAGCTTACGTTTGGTAAATTTATATTTGACTTTTGTGCAGGTGAAAGGCCAAGGTATCTTTGCTTTCGTTACCCTTCTAGAATTCGTCGAGTATAGTGATGAGCTTCGCACAGCGCTCGTCAACGCTGTTCGTTCACAGGTAGTGCCCTGTTACTATAATTTATCCTAAGCTTTGAATTGCTCTCAGATTGTGCTAATCTTGCTTCCTCCAAATTAGTGTCTGGGAAGACGAAGTTTGTAACTGGTTTATGTGCAATTCGCCCTTGGCAGATTGGAGCGTTCGCCGCACCAGATGTAATTCATTGGGCTCCAGGACTACCCAAAACGAGGAGTGGAAAAATCATGCGCAGAATATTGCGGAAGATTGCTAGCAATCAATTGGACGAGCTTGGTGATATCAGCACATTGGCTGATACAAGTGTGGTGGATCAGCTCATTAGTCTCCGTGGCAAGTAAATACAGTATTTAAGGTTCTCATACTGGAGGGAAATATCGGATCCCTTCTTGCAGCCTTTTTAGTGAGGTTTTATAAGGTGGGTTGGAAAGTGGTCATTGAATTCTGGTAATATTGATTGTCTACCGAGGAATGGTTTTTTGCTTAACGATGTAACAGTTTTTTTTTATCACGGTATCACCAAGTAACATGTTTCGTGGCATTTATATACAGTTTTGTAAGCTCAGTTTCGAGAAGTATATGTGCTACTTTCATTGCAGCTTGCTAATGGAATATAAAGCTATATGCTGTGCAATTTGTGATGCTAGTCCAAACAACTTCGTTCATATAGTCCAATTCACTAACCACAAACTCATCCAAAAGTATATTTCTCCCAGCCATCGAAAAGAGTGAATATTACACAAATTTTTGCTACGAATTGGTATACCTTAAATACTTTACATTTACCTGTCCTACTCGTTCCCCAAAAATTGTATATCTGTACTGTTATATAACAGAAGCTATTTCACACAGAAAATTAAAGAATGAGGTAAGGTGCTAAGTTGTACACTCCAAGATATGACGATATCATAACACAAAAGAAAGACAAGAAGGTGAAGGCTATCGAGGCTTCTGCATGTGCGCAAAACACTGTGATTTTTCCATCTATGCAACCACTGCCATAGTCGTCAATAACTCCTTTGCGATTAATTAACATAGCGACTGAAGCTCCAGCAGCTCCTGCGGCCATGAGAAGGAATGCTGACAACTGCAAAAGCAGGAATATCAGTATCATAATTCCACATTCAATGTAGCCGTTTTTCCAATTTACGTTTACTCTAATAGTACAGAAGAGGAATATAAAACCCTGAGATTTAATTAGAAGTAATCTTAGATAGTGGCAATAAAATAACTAACTCGTCGTAATTTTAAATATGCATTTCACGGAAACATACTTCGTACATGTGAACAGTAGCCTTCAATTTATGTTAGCTGCGATTTTTAACTGTACAAGCATTCACTTTCAGAGTGGTATGAGTTATATCTTAATGACTTATTATTTTTATTGTTAATAACTGTTTATATGTTTGTTTTGACGTGCCCGTTGACCAAGAGCATTTAACAAGGGCTTGAACCGTGACAGTACTTGATCCTCCATATCCCACTGTCACTAAGACCAATCCTCGTACTTCAGAGACTTTGGTAAAGAACACAATTTACCTGGTCACATCCGAAGGTAATGAACAAGTAGAGTTTCTTTGGGGCACTTCCGGATACCAGGGGCATGACGCTCAGAATAATTTGCCCTATTGCGTATAAAGCTACAAGCACATTTATAGCGAGTACGAAACTGCAGAAATCCAAACAAGTTGCATGAGCTACTCATTGAAGACGATCAGTAGAGTCCAACACTTGGAAGACGACATACAAGGGTTGAAGCTATTACGGGGTCAGAATCATCAATGTGCTGAATCCACTACTGTCGATGTTATGCCCAGACACTTCGTACTCAACCCCTAAACCAAATGTGTAGGAGTAAAGGAATGCAGTCGATGAACAAACGACGTTGATGAGGGTTATGAAATTCACGCGACACTAGGTGTTGCGGTAGAAACAGGACCAAGTTGAAGCAAGACATCAAATTAGAGCGACTGATTCTTTTTCAGAGGAAATATACTGCAATTTGAGAACATCGAAAACCGCAATTGCTAAACTCCAAAACCCTGGATTCAAACAAAAAAAACGCGAAGAAAAAAACAGAAGACAAAATCGAGTTAAGGTTTCTGCCTCACGGGAATGACTGACCCACAGGATTCATTTCATATAAGGCTGTGAAGTCCAGACTTCTCACCTGTACGAGGTAAAAGTGCTGTAAACCGCACCGTTTTGTTCCGCAGATGCCATCAAGCTAAAGGCAATGACGCTGAGAACGAACTCCGAGACCCGCAGTCCTAAGCTAAGACCCGACATGTGGTTGATGTTCTTCTTGACAGCCTGCAACGCAGAGCTCGGCGCATGGGAGTAATGTCCTTCAGGTGTCACCGCCGCCCCATTGGCAACACCACCCCCGGGCTCCATCACATTCGGAGACCCCGGATTCACTCCGACTCCTTCTGGCCTATGATCCGACTGTCCTGTGTACATTACTCAACCTCAAAAAACAAACAAACAAAAAACAACCCAACTCAAATACCCATTCAAAATCCCCCAAAAAACACGCAAGCTCTGACGTACCAAACACCAAAACCCAAGCAACCACTCCACAAATCCACTAGAGAACCCCGAATCCAACACCACAAACTCTTAAATCTCAACAAAATCCCCAGAGGGTACTGCCTTAGAACTTTCCCACTACTCAACGATCTTGGAATCTCTTCAACAAAAACGTCCCACACAAACGAAACGAAACGAAACGAAACGCAAACGAACCGCTGAATGAGTGAATGAATGAGTAAATGAATGCGGGAGAGGGGGTATTGAGAGAGAGTACGAGGGTCCTACCAGCAATGCGCGTGAATAGAAAGTTTCCGGTACCTACTCTCGTTGCTGTGTGGTGCAATAATTTTGGTGATTGCAATCCCTCGTTGGTGGCGATGATCCACCGACAGTATTGCTACCGAAGCTTCTCCGCAGCATCCCCGTCGTCATTGACGTTGAGGGGTTGGTGGCCCTCGGGAAATGGGTTTTGAATATTAGGGCTCTGCAATAAATCACGCACAAATCATTCTAGTTTTTGATTGTTTGTTTTTGTATATGTTAATGTACCCATACCATATTTGTGCGAATGTTTCTTGTAGACACTTATGTGATAGAATACTAAGCATCTCTTTCGGATGAATGAGGACATTTAAAAGTATTCATCAATATTTGTTGTCATAGTATTTGTTAATAATTATAGTTTCATTCTAAATATGATATTATGTGGCAATGTTTGTGTATAAGATAAACAACGCTTAATAATAAGGGACAACTAGAGGAGAAATAGAGTCTTTATATTTAGTAAATAAAATAAAAGCTACAACTTTTAAAGCTTATAATTGGTTAAAATCTAAAAGGCTTTTTTAATTGGTTTTTATATTTAGAAGAACCTCCCAAGAAATTAGAAGAAAAAATATGAGGTGGAAAATATATATTTTTCATTTAGCTATTACGGTGTCAGGGTAGAGAGAGTTTGCCTCTAGAAAGCGCTAGGCTTTTGGCTGCCACTAAATGCTCAATTAAGTATAAGATATAAAAGCACCAAGTTTATATATATAATATTTTTCCTTTTTGGGCAATTACATCAAAACATAAGCCCAAGTACCAAGAAAACACCCAAATGTATGATAAATTATCTGAAAACCTTATATATCCTTATGAGAAATATTTTCTGAACTTCAACAGTTCATATCTCACAATTGGATTGTCCAAACAACCCTAAATTTTATATGAAGCATTGATATACTTTCAAAAACTTCCACAAAACAATTCAACTATAAATTCGTTACGAATCTTGAGATATCACCAAAATCCTAACAATAGCTTTAAACCCTAGCTTACATACACTTGCATGCTAATTTCTTCATATCTCACAAAATAAGTACTCAAATACCATGAAACTTTGATCTATAGCTTCTCAACTTAATAACTCACACTTAAGAAAATTTTGAGCCAAAAATTCGTCCAGAAACTCAAGATATGGCTCCAACCATTATTATCAATAAAATGACTTACTTATTGCCTTTGAATTACATGTACTGTCTTCAATGCCCTATAACTCCTTCATCTATACTTGGAATTTGTCAAACAGTACATGTAAAGTGTAGCCAAGAAAGTGTTCTCTCCAACTCCAGTCGCCGATCTTTCATTGCTCTTTGTATGCATATGTTATGCTTCAAAGAATGGCAGTAGGTACAAATTTGACACCTTAACTTTGAATACTTACATCTCCTTCACAAAAACTCGAAATCACATAAACTCTTCGCTCAAATTATACCCAAAATCCTGAACTTGCTGATTCTAGCCTCCAAAGCTCAAATGACCTCGAAAGAGAAACCCTAATCCCTAATAAGGCCTCGGGCAGCCTCCTTGAAGTCCATTGGGCATGGCCTTCGACCAATAGGAATGAAGATCTCCATTCCTTGCCTTCGTCCAACCATTCCTTGCTTTCATCCCTCCCAATAAACCTCCTATTAGTTAAAAATTTCTTCTTTAGGCTCTAATCTCCTCTGAAGGCTTCATACTAACATTTAGGTTCTATAATTTTTTTGAAATGCTATAATTAAAAAGATAAAACTCAAAATAAAGTTTCTTAAATCCACTCTCTTTAAATTAATTTATTAACCATTCTAACATACACCAAGACTTATGAGCATATTATATGTTCTAACTAATTTTTACATACTATAAGCATTTATAGTATGACAATGGACCTACATATTTATGTAGATAAGAAGTGTTAGATAGAAGATAAATGTAGGTAGATTTGATATTAACTTGTGGCAAAGCTTCTAAGAATCTTTATAAATGCGTATTTGATTTTAGATATGTTTGTAGTTGATTGGTAAGTTAAAAATTTGGCCAACAAGATAGCCATATATCACATATGCTAGTAGCTTGTGGAATAAGTTATCTATGTAATACACATATAAGAAACTTATCTTATAAGTTAGACATGTGTCTCACAAGTTGGATATGTATTGGAGGTCCTATAGAACGTAACTTTTAGTTGGATTGTATATACAAAAACAAGAGTGAAGCCTTCTTCACTCTTGTCAACACCTTTTTAATCCTTAGTCTTATTTCAAGAACTTCTCTTTTTTATAGAAATTTTTATTTAATAATAGAAGTTACGGATTATTCTCCTCTAATTTGATGTCTTGATATATTTGATTTATCTATGAAAAAAAAATTATGGATGCTACTCTTGGTAGAAGTGAAATTAAATTTGTAGCCATTACAAATCTTCATGAGTTTTTTAATACTGTTAAAATGGAAATTTCACATATTTCTAATATCAACTATGGAGGTAGTATTCCAATGCTTATGAAAGAGGTCAACAACAAAATTTAAAGTCTATGCTAAAAATTTGTGCAATTGAAATCAAGTTCATAACTAAATCCAAGCAGTCTTGGTACAATAAGTATAAAAGAGGTAAAGATAAGTATGTTAAAGAAGTTTGATAGAACAAGATCAAAGTTTTGAGGATTTCTACAATAAATAAAGCTTTATCTTAGGTTCCATCCTTCTCAATACTTTGATGAATTTACTCAAATTGGATTCATAGGTACACTTCTATTTAAGAGTGTTTTTTCTTAGTTTACACCTTTGATGTAAAATGATTCCTAATTATTCTATGATTTAAATACATTCTTGAAAGTCTTCATAGCTACATTTGGAAAAAAGATTGAAAAAAGGTAGCAAAGATAAAATGCATATCTTTACAACAATGGTCATATTCAACCACCATATATGTTGCTAAATTCCAAAACCTCACTTACAATGTGGATTAGAATGATAAGGCCTTTATTAATCAATTTTGGTATAGATTAAAAGTTAACATCAAAGATTTGTTATTGGTAATGCCAAAAATAAATTTATTAGAATAATTTATTATTCAAGCCATTGTATATGACAAATGACTTTTTAAAAGATGTCAAGAATAAAGATTTGGTTAGAGAAGTATAAGTCAAGACCAAAAACTATGGAAATTGACTAAAGTTGTTTTTATTGTGTATTGTAAATTTGATCATTATCAAATTGTTAGATTGAAATTTATTGAAGTTTAAGTAGATTGAGGTCTCAAAAATGGGGTTTTGAAGATTAGTGAAAGTTCTTAAGATTTTTAGTAATTTTCTAATTAAATTGACGTGAAATTTATATATGTAGGTAGTAGACTTAATTTTTTACATATGTGTGAATTTTGAGAGGTATTTAATAGTGGAATTAAGAGATTTAGGCTTGGAAAAATTGGCATCAAGATTGGAGAAGGAGGCTAGTCAATAGTTAAGTGGATTTTAGGATTTATCTTCTATTTGATAAATTAAATCTTCTTAAAAAATATTTATTTTTGTTGCCAATTTAGTTGTTAAAATGTATACAAAATTCGAGTTGAAATCAATGATTTAATTATTAATTGTGAAGGTTTCAATCTACCATAGGATTTATTAAGAATTTATTTAAGATCTAAGATTAATTTAGGATTTAGAATTTTGTTAGGATTTATTTAAGATTTTTTAGGGGTTTTTTAGTATTTATTTAGAATTTGATTAGAATTTATTTAGTATTTATTTAGAATTTTATTACAATTTATTTAATATTTATTTAGAATTTGATTAGAATTTGTTTAGAATTTATTTAGGATTCAATTATGATTTGTCTAAGATTGATTAGGATTTTCTTAATATTTGATAAATATTTGTATAAGATTTGACCAATTTTTTTCTAGGGTTTGAATAAAGTTTGTTTAAATTTTGATTAGGATTTGTCTAGAGTTTGATTTAGATTTGTTTAGAATTTGATCAATTTTTGTCTAGGATTTGAATAAAGTTTGTTTAAAGTTTAATTAGAATTTTTTTAGAATTTGTATAGGATTTGTATTGGATTTGTATTAGATTTGTATAGAATTTGATTAGAATTTAATTAAGATTAATTATGATTTTTTTTAATTTTTTTATAATTTATTTAAAAATTTAATTAGACTTAATTAATATTTGATTATTTTTTTAAGAATTAATTATAAATTCTATTGGAGTTATTCTGACTTATTATTACAAGTTTTTTTTCATCTTTTATAATAAGGTATTGAATGCATTCTCAACCAAGACTTCATGAAATATAACAATGTTGTTAAGAAGAGTTGTACTTATATTATTGAAAACCTAAGTACATTTCTCAGTATTATCTAATAAAGTAATACAACTATAAAATAAGGATCATGGTTGCCAAAGAAAACGATGTATCAAAAAATTACTTTCTTTAGGTATATTAGGAACTGTTATCATATTATATATATTCTTACTTGAGAATGCACTGGGCACTTAGCTGTGGAAGGTAAATAACAATGCAAAAATAATTCTACCAAGTCTAGTAAAGCCTTAAATAAACTTCAAATAATCTTTAATAATCCAATCAAACTTTAATCTATTGAAATAAATTTAAAAGAAGTTATAAAAAGATTCAAAGAATCTTAAAGAAATAATAAAAATAAAAATATTAATGTAGTCTTCATTGAAACTTTAATTGAATCTTAATAAAATTTTAGGTCAAATCTTGAATCAAATCCTAATTTAAATCATAATTGAACCTTAACCAAACTTTAAGTCAAATCTTAGTTGAAATCCTAATTAAATCTTAATCAAATTCTAGAACAAATATTAATGAAATCCTAATGAAATTCTAAATCCTTAACAAACCTTAAACAAGTTCTAAACCAAATTCTAATCAAATCCTAGATCTTATACAAATTCTTAACAAATTCTATAGCAAATGGAACCTCAACAACTAATAATCAAACCATTAATAT